GTGTATTCAGATTCAGATGTCTTAATCTTAATACACATCTTGATATTCAGATGTGTATTCAGATTCAGACGTCTTAATCGTTTAAAAAAACAATGAGGGCTTAGCCACATTAGCGAGAAAGGACTAAATGTTCTGGCCAAGAGAAATTGTTGTCAAATATCGAAAGTGCAAAATTGAAAAATGTGAGCTCTGCTTTGCTGGAAAACGAAAAAAGAGTTTCTTTCCAGTCTCATCCTCCTTCAAGAAAGACAGAGTTGGTTGAGTTGGTGCATTCAGATTTATGTGGTCCAATGAAGACAAGGACTTTGGGTGGTGCACTTTATTTTGCTACCTTTATTGATGATTGCTCAAGGAAACTTTGGGTCTACATCTTGAAGACAAAAGACCAAGTGTTGGGTGTCTTTAAGCAGTTTCAGGCTTCAGTTGAAAGAGAAACTGGAAAGAAGCTGAAGTGTATTCATACTGATAACGGCGGTGAATATTGTGGACCGTTTGACAAATACTGCAAGCAACAGGGTACCAGACACCAGAAGACTCCTCCTAAGACTCCTCAACTTAATGGTTTAGCAGAAAGGATGAACATGACCTTGATGGAAAGAGTCAGATGTTTGCTTTCTGAAGCAAAGTTGCCGAATTCCTTTTGGGGTGAGGCTTTGTTGACCGCTGCACATGTTATTAATCTATTCCCTGCAGTTGCTTTGCAAAGTGATGTTCCAAATAGAGTTTGGTATGGCAAGGATGTTTCCTGTGACCACTTGAAAGTGTTTGGTTGCAAAGCTTTTGTACATGTGCCTAAAGATGAGAGGTCAAAATTAAATGCCAAGACAAGGCAGTGCATCTTCATTGGTTATGGCCTCGATGAGTTTGGTTACAGGCTATATGATCCAATTGAGAAGAAGGTCGTGAGAAGCCGTGATGTTATCTTCGTGGAGGATCAAACCGTTGAAGATATTAACAAACAGAGAAGCTAAAACCTCCAAGTTCTGAAGGTTTAATTAATCTTGATCAAGTTCCTCATACAAATGCGGATGACGTTGGTGGGATCAATGATGATGGTGATGCCCAAAACCATATTCCAGATCAACATATTGATGGTGATGGTGATAACAATGCTAATGCTGATGAGGCAGATGCTCCTACTCACGAAGTTGTGGACGAGTTAGATATTCCACTCAGGAGGTCTTCTAGACCACGTACTCCTTCCTCCCGTTATTCACCTAATGAGTATGCATTACTCACTGATGGGGGAGAACCTGAATGTTATGCGGAGGCCATAAAAGATGAGCACAAGGATCAATGGATTGAAGCCATGCAAGATGAGATGAAATCTCTGCAGGAGACCATACTTATGAGTTGGTGAAATTGCCTAAGGGCATGAGAGCTTTGAAGAACAAGTGAGTGTTCAAAGTTAAACTGAAGAACAAAGTTTGAAGCCTAGATACAAAGCTAGATTGGTTGTCAAGGGATTTGGTCAAAGGAAAGGTATTGACTTTGATGAAATATTTTCTCCTGTCGTTAAAATGTCCTCCATTCGGACAGTTCTTGGTTTGACTGCTAGTCTTGATTTGGAGATTGAGCAGATGGATGTGAAGACTGCTTTTCTTCACGGTGACTTAGAAGATGAGATTTATATGGAACAACCTGAGGGCTTCAAGGCAAAATGTAAAGAAAATCTTGTATGCAAACTTAAGAAGAGTCTATATGGATTGAAGCAAGCTCCTAGACAGTGGTACAAGGAGTTTGAGTTTGTTATGGGGGAGCAAGGCTACAAGAAGACTTCTTCAGATCACTGTGTGTTTGTACAAAGATTTTTTGATGACGACTTTATTATCCTCTTGCTATATGTGGATGATATGTTGATTGTGGGCAGGAATGCTTCCAACATTGATGAGTTGAAGAAACAATTGAATAAGTCTTTTGCAATGAAAGATTTGGGTCATGCTAAGCAGATTTTGGGCATGAGAATTACTCGTTCGAGAAACGAAAGGAAGCTTTACTTGTCACAGGAGAAGTACATAGAACGTGTACTGGAGCATTTCAATATGAAGAGTGCTAAGTTGGTTCGCACACCCCTTCCTGGTCATCTGAAGTTGAGCAAGAAGATGTGTCCTACAACAACGGAGGAAAAAGAGAGAATGGCCAAGATTCCTTATTCCTCTGCCGTCGGAAGTTTGATGTATCCAATGGTATGCACTCGACCAGATATTGCTCATGCAGTCGGTGTTGTTAGTAGATTTCTCAAAAATCCAGGAAAAGAGCATTGGGAAGCTGTAAAGTGGATACTCAGGTATCTAAGAGGAAGCTCACATGAACACTTACGTTTTGGAGGATCAAATCCAATTTTGAAGGGCTATACAGATTCTGATATGGCAGGTGACCTTGATAACAGAAAATCCACTACTGGATATTTGTTTACTTTTTCAGGGGGGAGCTATATCATGGCAGTCGAAGTTGCAGAAGTGCGTCGCACTGTCTACAACTGAAGCGGAGTATACTGCGGCTACTGAAGCTGGCAAAGAGATGATATGGCTCATGAGATTTCTTCAAGAACTTGGATTGCGACAGATGGAGTATGTTGTCTATTGCGACAGTCAGAGTGCAATAGACCTAAGCAAAAACTCCATGTACCATGCGAGAACAAAACACACCGACGTCAAATATCATTGGATTCGTGAGCAAGTGGAGATCAAATCACTTCAACTCAAAAAGATTCACACGAGTGAAAATCCTGCAGATATGCTGACCAACGTGGTACCAAGAGACAAGTTCGAATCGTGTAAAGAACTTGTAGGCATGCACTCAAACTAAGAAACCTGGTGTACCCTCCTTCAGGTGAATGGGTCTGGAGGGGGAGATTTGTGGGGTCCAGCCCCATGTTTTAAGGAAGATGTCTTCTTCCTTTGGTAAATTATCAAAGTTTGCAGATATGGCCAACCGGCCAAATATCTTTCACACTTTAGACATTGAAATTTTTTGTGCTTGCTTGAGTCACTGCTTATATCAGCAAGACCATTTTTCCCCCTTATAAATAGGGAAGCATTTCATCAGTTGTATATACACCAAAATCTCAGACAATACATCTTAGTGAGAGAGAGAGAGAGCAAGGTATTCCATAGACTATAAGAAAATAGTCTGTTGAGAAAAATAGAGTGCGAGAGATATTGTAGTAAGGTGAAAAAGCAAAAGAGTGTTTTTTCTTTTGAGGGTGCAGTGGTCTTAGGAGTGTTTGTACTTGTTACTACACAGTGTAAAATTCATTGCTATAGTGATATCAGTTGCTCTTCTTGGCTGTGGTTTTTCCCTTATTCAGAAGGGTTTCCACGTAATATCTTGATGTCATTATTGCTGCACTTTTATTCTTGCTGATTTAACCATAACTTAGTGTTCCGCGTATATCACTAATACTGTAAATATTATTTTTGCGGGTCTATTTTTATTCCCAACAGTTTTGCTATTGCCTTTCACTGCTACAACTCTGACGAACCTCCCCATCATATTGGAATTCTGGAAAATACGATAAGAATACAGCAGACTCTGATAATCCCACCTTCTGCATATATTACCTCGTTCAATCGATGCCAATTCCATGCATTTACACAAGCCCAGAATGTTACACTTGTCAAAAGTAACTCTATTCATAAGATTATTCCTCCTTTCAACAATTTCATACCAGCTATCACTGAGTTCCATTATTTCGAAAGATTTGTTCCCAGCGGTGAAAAAACAAACTCTACTCATGTTAACTTGTTAAAACTGGCCACCTCCACTTTTCTCGTTGCCGTATAATAGGCTAAGTTACTTAGTGAAGAGTGTACAATTCCACAAGAGTTAAAGAGACAGAATAGAGTCAATGTTCGAGAAAAAAAAATCACTGCTGAGAATGATTGATTAAGAGAAAGAAAGAGGAAAAAAACAGAAGATGGTAGAGATTAAGAACTGGAATAACCAAAGAAATCAAACTGATTGCTGGAGATAAAACTATCGGAGAAAGAGATTCGGAAGGGAATTTGGAAAGGTTTCATATTTTCCAAGAGAGAGCATTTTGCCCCTGCTTCTGGAGACAAACCCTTTTAATGCAGCTCTAATTTCAAATATTAGAAAGAACACAACAAGACATATGATAGATATACAGTGAGAAGGTAATGCTTTCAATCACTGAATATGCTCTGGAGCTTGTGATGAGGAAGAAATAGCTAAAGTTTTATCGAGTCTTCAGAATGAGTGTGATCTTTTTATATTTATATATATAGCTTGAGTCGAAATTAAACAATATTTTTTATAAAATCACGAAATCCGTTCTAAATTTGCCTTGAATCATGTGCCGAGTGTTCTTTCTACGACAAGTACTTAACAAACCTCGGCGAAATTTAGATGAGGTAAGGGAACTAATTGTTAGTAAAATTTTGTTCAGAAACAGATCATAAAATAAAAAATATTAGTTAACACAAAACAGATAATGCAAAAAGATTTCGAGCCCATAATTTTTTTCTATGTGCTTAAGAAATTTAATCCTCTCACTGTTGCCCAAGGTATTTAGATTAATTCCTCCCTGGATAGAACGGGAAACTATTCTGTAATAGGGACACTTCAAATTGCAAAACTTCGGCGAACTCAATGGTAGAACAAATCACACTTGACACTTATATTTGTTTTGAAAAATAAGGCCCAGCCTCTAAATTCATAAACTATGAAAGGATAAAATAAAGAGGTGCAACCCAAAATATGTATTTTCCCTCTCACACTTTAAAAAACCTAACACTAATACCTGTCTCCAATAGGTTGTATTAATGTACTCTTCTTCTCTTCAAGCTTCTTTGAACTTAAAAGAGGATAAAATTTAAATTTTCTATATAATTTCTCAATTTGTACATCACATTTTTTTCATTTCCAAAATTAAATTAGAAAAATCCAATTAATTAATTTAACAACAATTCAGCTCTCCATAATTATAATTATAATCCCTAAAAAAAAACAGATCTTTATCATTCACCTTCGCCACTGCAAACCAGGCAAGACACTACAATACATTACAGTTATACAAACTGTCAAACATTATTTTAACATTATTTTACTGATCAATCAGATTCAAAACCAACTAGAAAAAAAAAATCAGATTCAAAACTAATATTTATATTCTGCAAAACCCTAACACAACAAACACACTCTTTCAATGGCGAATTCTCGTAGAAAACCAGCAGTAATAGACCCGATGTACTATCCAGTGATCGCTTTAATCATAGCCGTTATCGCCTTCGTTGAGCTCTCCGACGCCGTCACCGTCGTCGACGTATACCGGCTTGTTCAGTACGATATCTCTGGCGTCCCCTTCGGTTCTCGGCTCGCTGTTCTTAATCACCACGCTGGCTCGTCCTTATTTGCTTCTGGTGGCTCCGGTTCCGATCTTTCTCGTACGGTTCTCATTCTTCCGGTTAGGGAATTGGATCCCACTCTCATTAAAGGTACTGCCACGACTGTGGATTCGAACTTTCGTTCATTTTTGTGTGGAATTTAGCTTTTAGGAAATATCTATTTGTTAGGATTAACTTTTGAGTTTATTAGCCTGTTTGACCGAGCTTCTGGGAGGCTAAGTGTTTATTTATTACTCCATTTTTTAGGAAGTGCTTAATTTAGAGGGTTGAGATGATTGACCAAGCTTTTAGGAAAAAATTAAGTATTCTTTAGTAGTAACAGAAGTTGCTTTACAGCTTGTTTGGATGGTTGTTACCTGTTGTATCGTATCGTATTGTTACTTTAAATACGATGTTTGTTTTGGTTGTTACTTAAATTTTATTGTATCGTATCGTTAATTCTGTACGTTACGTAACAACGAAATGTGCCACTTTATGTAACGACCGATTTGGTGTTACCTTGTTCTTTTCTCTCAATCTCACCCTTAATTATTGTTAAATAATTTTATTTTATCATTTATCCTATTATATAGTAATTTTACCCTGTATCATAATTTTTCTTTATAATATTGCAAGTTTATTCTTCATATTGCTGGTGCGTGATATCATGAAACGACGACAAACGACACAATCTATCCAAACATTATATTCATCAAACGATATAGTACTACAATACAATACGATACGATACAGTATAAAACGATATGTAACAACCATCCAAACAAGTTGTTAAGAAGCTGAAGAAAGTAGCTTTTTCCGAGAAGCACTTTTAGAACCTTGGCCTAGCACACATTGCTTCTTGAATATTGACAAAAATATTTTTCAAATTGATTAGCTAAACACAAACTACTACTCTTTTAAAAGTACCTTGTCAAAAAACACTTCTAAAGAAAAATATTTTTTAAAATAAGCAAATTTTGGAAGTTTGGCCAAATAGGCTATATGTTCTATGCACTAACGGTGTAAGAAATTGGTCAGGTCATTTAAAAGGTAATTACAAATAACTCTATTTAATACCATTGATTGATAGCCTAAAAGAAATGGTAAGTAGCATCCTATAACATGTTAAATTACACTGATATTGTAAAAAGACCATTACACTGTCAATGTATATAACTTAAACCCTTTAGTTTTAGCTGTTGTTACCAAAGAAGGGATAAGTGTGAGATTTAGTAAACCTGATTCTTATTAAAGATGCAGCTCCATATATTGATTCTGAACTTAAATATTTGTTATTTGGACTAAGCCATATTAATTAGTGGGATTATAGTTTGGTTATTGGGCTTATGCTAGTTTGGTATGAGAGATCATTAAAGGTGCAACTCCACCTACTGCTTCAATATGTTATTTTCTTTCTAAATGTGTTATCAACTAGGAGATACCAAGCTTAGTTCGTTACTTACATTCTGTGTGTGGTAGGAATAAGCATGAGAAGGAAACCTATAACTTTAGGGAGTCTCCGATTTGCCTTAAATGACAAGTTACTCATGTATTGCTATTATAAGTCATTCCTCTGTCACTTAAAGTGATGCTATGCAAGAGGTTATCACTTTATGAGCAAAGCCATGCACTTCAAAGAAGTGTGCTCTTCAAACAATGACGTGGAAAATTATATAAAAGAAAAGCAGTGGTTCTTTGAATCTCAACGTTGACGAGTTGGATTAATATTAACATTTTTGTATATCGAATGCTAAATTAGTTATTCTAATTACCTTTGATTATTATTGCACTAAATTCATACATGTCTGGCATTCTTTAATTTTCCATGAATAGCATGCTTGACTTCTCACTTTTTCTTTAAATATTATGGACTTTGTCGCTAATTACAGATAGAACACCAAGACAAGGAACGTAACAGCTCATAAACTAACCAACTAAAAGAAGAAAGATTGTAACAAACTTCTAACTCCAGCCAATGCCCCGACATTGCACACATAGGCACCACTTCTAGCAATGCTTTCCCAATCTCTTCCCCTCTTCTCAAAGATTCTCTGATTTCTCTGTAACCAAATAGCATGGACAGTTTCAGCATTCACCATTTTGAAGAACTGAGCTGTTTGTGATTTCGCTTGTGTCTTCTCAAAAATTCTCTAATTATTTGCAATGCGTAACCCTGATAAAATGTGACGCAGGGTGATGATTAGATAGCAAAGCTAGTTTTAGTTTTGTGAACTTATAGTGAAAGTGCAACATCGGCATAACAAAGAGATATGTCCCCAACAAATGCTGATCTATCCTTTTCAGGATGTTCTCGCGGCAATCTTATGAGTAAGCTGTCTTGAAGATAGAGTAAGGCCATGTGAATGAGAGGAGAAAAGGGAAGCTAGTAATTTGGGGTGGAGGGGGTGGGGGTAGGGGTGGGGTTGGAGAGGCTGGATAGAGAAGAAGGTATAAACATAGTGGGGATTAAGGCCTCACAAACTGTCCGAGAAGATTATTGTTCTTTTCTTCACCAAAGTAACCATGTTAGAATGAATTCAGCACATTTGTTAACGACCTTCACTCATTGAGGCTTGGTCATGGTGAAAAGAGCAGCCCGGTGCACAAGGCATCCCGCATTCACGCTGGGTCCGGGGAAGGGCCGCAGCCCAAGGAGTGTGATGTAGACAGCCTACCCTAATGCAAGCATTAGTGGTTGCTGCCACGGCACCCGTGACCTACAAGCTTGGTCATGATTCAATTCCCAAAAATATACAAAAGAGTGACTTACTACAACAACAACAACAACAACAACACTGCAATTCCAGACAAGCTTGGGTCAGCTATATGAATTCTTACTGTCCATGTTGCTCTATTTAATCTTGTCTCAGTCCAACATTATTAGATATTAGTTTTTCTAGTAATAGAAGATTAAGATCATTAATCTGACCATATTTCTTATGGTGGTATTTTCTTATAACAAATAAAAAGATTTACACATTTTATTACTTTCTAGCGCATTCTTTGCTTGAAACATCACTAACCTTGATTGTGCTGATCATGTTATAGTACAACTCTCTGTTCCTCATGCAATACGTATTTAGATTGTCTCTTCTGATGGGCTTGCCCTTGTATTGGCTCTTATTGCAGAATATATTGAACAGAAAAAGCTATTAGGGGGTTTACTGCTTTTACTCCCCCCCAAACTTAGTCCAGAAAACGTAGACAACGCATTTGGTGCTGATGAGGATATTAACAGCCTGATGAGCAAATTGGCTGAGTTGGAACGGTTGCTTACACATTCTAATATCCCTGTGAGTGCAATGAATCATCCATTCTTTTTTGTCCTTTTGGCATATCTATGTGGCACAATGCATGTTATGCATAGGACATCCTTCATCATGTACCACGCGTTATATTTGTCTAGGGCTACTCGGGCATGATTATTCTACCTTAATTAGTTTGAAGTTTTTATTAAATCTTTTATATTAGTCATACTTGACGTTTGTTTACTCTTTATCAAAAGCTTGATGTTTGGTTACTGTACGGATAACTCAATCTCATGAACTAGTAACCAGCTATTAGTGTAACAATGCAAATAATTCCTAAATGACAATTTGTTTCCTGCAATCACTTTTTTCGAATAATCAGTGGGAATCTATATAATCTAGACCAAAGAAGTCATGACTGTGATTCCTTAGTTGGTAGAAGAACATGCTGAAACATTGATACTGTTAGTTTCTATGAAAGAGAAGAGTTCAATCAAGGAGGGGTGGAGATGTCTGTAGACTGTGTTTCTGAGCGGAATAGAGGGAAATGTCTTTTCTGTTTCTTTTGAAAATTGCGCTTGAAGCTTCTGTTTCTGGCTAGAGATGAGAATAAACAAGGAATATTATGTGATGTGGCAGCCCTTAAGTCCAACCTTTCTGTTGTTGGCATGCTGATTCATCCTTCCTCAGAGTGATGAAGAGCAACTTGAACTATTTTACTTACTATTTGGCAAGTGACTATGAGTGTGTCTGAAATAGTTTGGTAATAAGTCCTCTCCCAAAGATAGAGAAATTAGTACTAGTTTCTTTTGCCCTGAAATAGTTTTTACCACCTATCTTTTGTTCAAGGAGGCTACTCCCATTGCCTTACTTCTTTTGTTTGAATAGTTCTAATTTATGTGGATATCCTTCATCTTGAATTTTTTTCATTTTTTATCGTCTAACAAAATAGTGAATTTTCAACCTTTTGAAATTCGGGTGCAGTATCCTGTATATTTTGCTTTCGAGGATGACAATATCAATGCTGTACTAGCTGAAGTTAAGAGAAATGATGCTAGTGGTCAACCTGCAACAGCTACCACAGGCGGGTAAGTTGGAATCTTATTTTTTGTTTTCAAGAGAAGAGTTGCCTCTTTTGTTTGATGTATGTATGCTAAAACATTAAAAAGATTAGAATGTGTCGTAGAGATATTTTACATAGTCTGGACAAATTTCTGTCTACTGTAAAAGTGCTTGTGAATTGGGCACATTCTAATGGAGCTAACAAGCTCACTTTTGTTCTTACTATCTTTTGTACTATTTGCATCTACTTGATGCCATTAATGAAACCACTTCATCTGAAAAACAGTGCTTGTGAATTTTTAAGCCATCTTTAATCATTATCATATAGTTAAATGATTCCATTCAATTTTATTCTTGATCTAATCCCATTTGGTATTTTCTTGGTCAATGTAAGTGTTAATTTGAGAAAAAAGTTTAGCTTACTACCTGACTTGACTCTGTTGGTAATGGGCTTGTTCACCAAAATTTTAAAAAAATGAAAGTGAAAAGGAAAAAGAGAGTCCTATAATTTCGTGCAACACGATTGTTGAGCATGGATTCATGCTCTGGTTTGACTTCATGACTTGCATATTATTTGTATAGTAGAATTTAAGTAAATACTGAAGAATGTATACAATCTTGTTATTGTAGAAAAAACACCAACTTGACGTGTACTTTTTGCTGTATCTAAATTCTTGCAAAAACTTGAGTGGGTCCATAAATTATTATTTGTTTGACTGTATCCAGGGTCGGCTCTAAGGGCCAGTGAGGCCGTTGCCTTAGGCCCCCAAAATTTAAAGGCCCCAATTTACTTTAAGCTTTTAGTTATTATAAATAAAAGTGTTACAGTATACTCTTTTGTTATTTGATTGAGGTTATTTTACACCAATAAATTCATAAATTATGATAATTTTCTTCACTCATTAATTAGTATATTTCATCACTCTTCAGTTTTAATTTTATCCTTTTTATATGAGAATTAAGATATATACATCGACAACATAATGAATTTCTTTTACAATCTTCTTTGAAACTGCATAGACACAAAAGCATTCATGCACCGGTTTTCTTTTAGTGCAGTTCAACATATTATATTAGGTTATTTATAATTTATTTTAGATATTCACTAATAAGTGCTACAATTATCATTTAAAATGATCAGAAGGTGTAAATATTATATATTTTTGACACTATTAGTGCTCAAAACTTAAACAATTACGTTATGTACGTTCATTTCTTTTTCTTGTATGTGATGATAGCCAAATCAAAATTTTCACTTTGAGTTTCGGACCTCAACATCCTATAATCCACCACTTCATTCTTTATGCTCTTCTTCCTTTTTCTCAAATTTTTTTTGCTATTTCTTGTCTTAAATGATTAATTTGTTGTTTGGAGAGCAATTTTTTTTGTTAGTGCACAGATTTTACAAAATAAATTTAAGGGCCTCTAAATATGGTTTCGCTTTAGGCTACGAGATCCGTTGAGCCGCCCCTGACTGTATCAAATATTTGTGATGCCCCAACACGGGAAAAATGGGGCTGCACAAGTTTTGGTATTTGAGGTATCCTTTCTGAGATTGGATGTCAATATGAATGTGCAAACTTGTTTGATGTCGTGTTGACGAAGGTTAAACTTTTTTCTTTTTTGTGATAAATATCTTGTTAATGATTCAGTTAATCACATGTCTACAGCTACAAGCTTGTTGTTGCTGCCTCAGATCCTAAGAGAATTGCATCCCCCAACATTGCAAATATTCAGGTTCTAGTTTGCGGCTGTTCACCTCCTGGTTTTTTAAGTAGGAGCAGTTGGTTTTACTACGACTTTTAAATTGATGTTTGTTTTAGGAATATTGACTTGACTTAATTGCCTACGGTGTTAGTTCTAAAATGCTTGACATACAACCTTTCTCGTCCGTCTACTGTTTTGTTAAATAACAAGTTTATATAGCTCAAATCAATGCATATTAATATAAGCTAATACCACATCAGGTCATTTCAAATTTGATTTGACATCTCTCAGCTTACTGCTGCTTAAATTGAGCGACATGGTCGGTGAGGATTTGTATAGCCGAACCCAATTGCTTGAGATTGAGGTGTAGCTGCTGTGAGCTTTCGGGGGGCCTACATATGGTCTTGGCTTTAATTTCTTTTTCATAATTATTATCGTTCTTTATTTTGTACACTCGGTTTTTTTTTCCAATTTTTATGAATCTCTATGTACTTAGGATTCTGGTTGCTGTACTTTGATTTCCATATAATAGTCAAGCAAATCAATGAGTGCATGCAACTCTTTTTGCTTCCTTATAGTAGTCAATGATATCAGCTTTGTACATTCAATTATTTGGCCTTTCTTATTTTAGTAGTTCAATCATTTTAAGCATAGGTGAATGCATTCATACCGACCCAACTTGTTTGGGACTAAGGCGTGGTTGTTGTTGGATGCATTTTCTTTGAATCTCTATGTACTCAAATTTATTTGTTTCTATATACATTGCTTTCCTTATAATATAGTCAAGCAAGTCAATTCAGTACATTGAACTCTTTTGTTTACTTATAATAGTCACTCAAATCAAGCTTAATACATTGAATTACTTTTTTCTTATTTTGGTAATGAAATCATTTTCAGTCTCTATGGATGCATTTCCTTATTGTACTAACCCAAAATGTTTTCTGTTTTATATTACCATAATCCTATTGTATATCCTCCTTCTTGAAATATATAAGACTAAGAATTATACAGACTAATTTCTAAAAATAATGGGCAGGGCATGGGTTAACAGCTACTTTAATTAATCAATGAAGTAGAATGTTGTTTGAAAGTTCATTTATCAGTACTTGTTAAATGTCAGGGATGGTTACCAGGACTTAAAGTTGATGGAGACTCAAATCAACTCCCAACTATTGCCATAGTGGCTTCATATGACACATTTGGGGCTGCGCCAGTAAGTTATGACTTACTCTATTAAGTTTTGAGCTGTTACAATAAATGACCTTAATCAATTCTTTTTATCATTGAGTTTACAGACATTGTCAGTGGGAAGTGATAGCAATGGAAGTGGTGTAGTGGCACTTCTTGAAATTGCTAGGTTGTTTTCTGCTCTATATTCAAATCCTAAAACTAGAGGTAGATATAATTTACTCTTTGGATTGACATCTGGTGGGCCGTATAACTACAATGGAACTCAGAAGGTGCACCACTCCTTCCCAAAAATTTTGTCCTATCCTTTTAAGTTGCAGCTGTCTCGTTCTGTCCTTTGAATGTGTAAGCTTTCTTCAGTGGCTTCGGAGTTTTGACCAGCGTCTACGTGAGAGTATAGACTATGCTATCTGCTTGAATAGTGTTGGGTCCCTTGGCAATGAGTTACATCTTCATGTCTCCAAACCTCCAGAAAATGCCTACATACAGCAGATATTCCAGGTATGCAAATGGCGTCTAAGGGAGAAAGCTAGGAGAATTTTAGTTTTTATCACTTCTACTGCTGCCCTTTCTTGTCTGAAGAACTAATATTTGCAGGGTTTCTCTGCCGTAGCAGAAGAATTGGGCCTTCAAGTTGGTCTTAAGCACAAGAAAATAAACATCTCGAATCCTCGAGTAAGTACATAAACCGCTTAAAGAAAAATGCATATCCCTGCTTAGATGGTCAGGCATAGTGCATTGTTTTCTTGCCCTGTTCTCGCGCTCTTGGAACTCCACCTATCTGAGATTCGCTTCCCGTTCTAAGTCTGGATAAAAGAGGAGAATTGTGGTAGGCTGATGGTCAGCGGAAAATTGTCTAACAATGATAAATCCTCCGAATACGGTCTGAGAGTGGAATATACTGTATGGAGTGGAATTAATACGAAGATTCATATCACCAACTAGTTTGTGGTTGATGGATTGTTGATTGGTTATGCTCGAACCAGTGGACCAATGTTAGAGCTTCAGTATCTTACATTAGAAATGATGTTTAAATTAGTTTTTTTGGCTATGTCTGCAGTTCAAGCTTTGTAGGCTGCTTTCTGTTGTGGTGATACAGCTTTCGTTTACTTATGTGAAGTGAGGTTTTGCAACTCTCTTTCCAGCCCTAAACATTTGTACAAACATATACAAGGCAATGTTATCAAAGGCGAAAAGCGCAAAAAAGCTCTAAGGTCTGATGGAGCTTTAAGCGCAAAGCGCAAATAAAGCGTGAGCTTTAATGAAGAAAAAGGCAAATGGAGAAAAACGATAAATATGTATGTGTAGTCCAAGACTAAAATCTTTAAGCATAAATGTTAAATATATGATCAAAGAAATTGAAGAAAATTTATGACAAAGTGATATCAATTGTTTAGTGTCGCCTCTTCAGGAATACGCTCATTGGCAAGGAAAAGTATGACTTAGAGGCTAGAGCCTTGATGACAACACTGAAGCGCCCGCTAAGCGAGACGAAGCGCTTAACATGTTTTGAGCCTCGCTTCAGGGCTTAAGCGCGCCTTTGATAACACCGATACAAGGAGACTGCTTATTTCACCCAGATCTAGAAAGCATGCCATTTATTTTGGACCATACTTGTTCTTACTGCTTTTCTCTCTAATGGCATCAACAATTTTTTTCACTTGAAATGAAACCCTTGTCACTTTTTATGGTAATGTAAAAGCTGGTACTGAAAAAAGAAAATTAAACTGGTTATTGTGGCTCAAGGGCTGCCCTTAGGTGTGATTGAAGTAGTTATTATTGTTGCAAACATGAGAATACCAGAATGAGATTTGTGTTCAATCTGCAGTTTGGTCACAAGCACAGATCTCACACTTCATGGTTTTGTGCATATGTGATGATTGCCTGATGCTATTTGTGCGATTGTAGTAACTTGGTGGTCATTCCCGCACCCCCTTGGCTTTGTGCAGATTCGGTGATTGGCTGGTGCTATTTGTGCGATTTTAGTAACTTAGTGGTCATACCCCCCCNNCTAAAAACATCTCTGTCTTTGAGACTAATAATTTGTTTGAGCTATGTGAAATGCTCGATTTGCCATGTTGAAATCGAACTTCTAGGCAAAAGTAAAAGAACCATAGAAAAAGGCTTCTTATGCAGCGTCTTTTCCCGAGCGTGGAGATAACCTTCACATCTGATCTTATGCAAAGAGCGACATCTGCATACTCCTTTTTAACCACCCTCCATGATTGTCATTTACGGAAACGGAAGATTATTTTCCTGTTTCCATATTGCCTAGTAACTAGAAATGCATTTATGATTTTGTATGCATCATTAATCTGTAATTTTGTCATGGATAAAACATAAAAGTTAAGCCCTTTACTGATGTAATTTGTGTACAAGTTTTTGACAATCGCAGTTCTTTTGTGTAACATAAGCCAGCTAGAGAGCTTGTTCTAAGCTATTTTATTGACTATTACCTGACAGTCACTTTCTTTAGACTAGACACTACATATCCCACTTAAACCTGAATAGTCTCTAGAGTTTCCCTGTTTAAGCTACTAAGCTTGTTTTTACTGGTTAATAAAGCAGTCAGATATACCATCTTTACTTTAATTGTCTTTGTATGTGATGTTTAGTCTTTTTACTGTGCTAAAGCTGCTAAATGGTGTAGGTAGCCTGGGAGCATGAACAGTTTTCAAGGTTGAGAGTCACTGCGGCAACACTATCTGAACTTTCTGCTGCACCTGAATTACTGGAAAGTACAGGACATCTGGCTGATAACAGGTTGTGGCTTAGCTTCTAATACCTCTTGGTTCTATTTTTGTAACTTCTCTGATGGCCATTTGCTGAACTTCTGGTTTCCTGTGTAGACATTTTGTCAGTGAAGCCTCAATCATTCGAAGTGTCAAGCTTGTTGCTGAAAGTCTAGCGGTAAGGACTTTGGCCTACCTCTTTTCCCCTGGAGTACGAAATTTTGTCTCAGCCGTTGCTACTGCTAGTTTCTTATACTGATAAACCCTTTAACTTCCAATAATGAAGTTCTCTTCTATATGAGAAATAAACAGTGGCAGTCTAACAGTCAACTTGAAAAAGAAAAACAGGAACTTTTTGGCCTCTTATAGGTCTGGTCTTGTCATGCATGCTCCTTTTGAGACAGTCGATTCTTATCTACATATTCTGTTCAACATAAAAAAGCATAACTTTATAATTTGAAGTATGATCATACTTCTGAGACTATTGGGCAGATAGTGGTTGCAGTCTTGGTTTTTCTTGTGGTTTTGGGATCTCTTGATGTTATGCTAGTGGAACTAGTCTATAGCTAACAAAATCAGTTTAAATCATAATTCAATAGCTACACTTAATCTAGAATAACTCCAGAGTTTCTCCTCTTTGAAGTTCTCTTCAGGTTTCCCAAGTTTATGATTGAGCTCAGGCCTAATAGTCTGGAAATTCTCTGCTGGTTCACGAGTATTATTGCATATTTTCCTTTAATTAATTAAATGAGCAACATGATTGAATTTTGAGTAGCGGCTTGTATATGGGGGTTCCCCCATCATTAATTAAACTATTTACCTTATTAAAAAGAGAGAGATTGAATTTTGAGTAGTTCTGTCTGTATATATATTTGAGATTTTCTGGAGGACTTTATGAAAGATGTATTTATTGTCTTCATTCCATTGCTTGGTCCTTAGTGTCAAGGAAAATTCCTGATTGTGATATGCATCTTCTGCATCATTTTTTTCTTTGGGGTGGGGAGACTGTATTTCAAAGGATGATCATTTTGCATTAATATATGTAGGATGTTGTTTTGCATGTCTTCTATAGAGAACAGATGATTTTGATATCCTGAATTACTTCTGAAGAGAAGAGTGGGGTGATTGATCAGCTGGTTCAGAATTTTAGATTACCAAAAAGCATTTTTCATATATGTTTCTTTCTCCTTTATGCTGCAGCTTCATGTGACTCAGTTTTTCGTAAACCTTCTTTTAGGTAATGAGAAATGTGTTCTGGTATTTTGCTTATTTCAAACATTTGTCTTAACATGAAGTGAGCTATCTCATGTATTAGGAATGCCGCATTTTTGCAGACAACAGTAGTTTCACAAGTTTGTTTAACAAATTTCTTTTATATGCAGAGACACATTTATAAGCAGGAGCAGAAAAGCATAAGCATATTTGCAGACGATAGTAGTTTAGCCGTCAATCCTTCCTACATAAGGTCTTGGCTAGATCTTTTATCTACAACACCTCGAGTGGCACCTTTTCTTTCAAAAAATGACCCGCTTATTAAGGCACTGGAAAAGGTATTTTAGAGGCATGTTACACTTAAATTTTGTATTTAGTTAATTGTTTCTTTTTTCCCTTTCAAATGGTCTCATAATTTCTTGGTTCTATATTATAAAGGACATCTTCGTGTATATCACTATCGCTCGTCATAATGGCTTGCCTTTGTCATTTTGCTTTGGCAATTAATGTTTCTGACTTTATTTTCTCTTATATATATGACCCTAGTATACACTTTGATTACCTATATACCTCAATTTGAGCTTCTTAAGGTATCTGTACCTCTTAGTTTCTTGTTTTGACCAATATGTGCTTTCAATGTCTGCAGGAATTAGCTGATCATACTGCAGAGGTGAATGTACAGCATGAGACTCTAGATGGAATGTTCACTTTTTATGATTCAACTAGTGGCAAGTTACATATATATCAGGTGCGTAAATATCTCCAAATTTTCTGTTAGCTTTGCCCATGGTATCCTAACATTATGGAAATAATTGTACAGCCTGTAACAATTCGAAATGCAAGTTGCATATATATATATATATATGGGTTTTGCTAACCTACTACTTTTCTGGTTGGTTGTAGTAGGTTAGCATTGTGTACATAATTGCTTTCCCTTAAATGTCCCTATTTGAGAAGAAATAAGAGGGGGTTTTCTGACTTTTCGTCATAAAATCAAATAGTAATAATTCCTTCTCTTTCCCTGTCCTTTTGTCCATGGTGAAACCATCCCTCCCCTCCTTTCTCTCTCTCGTTATCTCTTCAAGTTCAGCAAAAAATTAAAGTATTGTCATTGCTAAAGACTCCACCCATAGTTTGTGTTTCTGCTGATTAATTTCTGGGTTCGACTTTAAGAAGATAATACAGGGATAAAACACTAGACCCAGCAATTAAACCCATTTCCTGCTTGACTACCCAATAAACCCAATTTTAAAAGGTACTTTTGCTGTAGTTCTGATCAACGACGGCAATGTTACCGGTCGTGCGGTCATGGAAACGAAGGGGCAAGAAGAAGGATTGCATCTCAAAAAACGATGTCTGTTTTTAAGTTAGGTCAAATTATTTATGCTTTGAGTATGAAAATTTAAAATTTAATGGTTGAATCCAGTGGAGGAAAACAACAATTGACAATGAATTAATAGAGTCCAATTTGAGAAGAATAAAAACAACAAATGTGTGTGTGTGGGGGGGG